TAGTAATGGAAATAAAGGTATTATTTATCGTTACGATCTCGAGCCATTTTCTTTCAAAATTTGCCGATTAATACCTTTTATATCAATTAATTTTTTTATTTAATATTATCCTTTATTTGGTTATCAATATGAATTATGCACTTGGATTCATACATTATTTGTGTTTTTTAAAAAATGCATTGCGTTCTTGTTTTTTTTTTTCAAATTCTTCAAATAGTTTTATGTTTAGATAATATGAGTTCATCGGATCAAGTAAAGAGCATTCCGTAAATGATAAGCTCAAAAAGAGGAATAAAATAAAATAAATAAAGAAAAGGGTTTCATAAATAGTTTCACATATACATTTATTTAAAAGATTAATTGATTTTACGTATTATTTTCCACATGATATGCAGATCATTATGATAAATCGAAAGCCGAAGATATTGATGTCAAACTTAATCAGCGCCAAATCACGTACAGTATGTGATAATCCAAAATAAAAGCGAGTAGATGCGGATTCGCTCTCATTAACCCTGAGCGACGTTCATTGTATGGTTCTTTTAAGATGTGCTGATGATTAATACAGTATAAAACGATTTTCCACGCATATTACTGGATTACGTGAAAAACGAACACCTAAATGTCCAATAACGTCACCCTAAGAACTCAAAAGACCAATCCGATTAATTATTATTGAAATCATATGACGATATATTTGATATCACATGGGCCATGTAATTTTTTAATATATTTTTTATCAATGATTAAAATTTAAGTTTACGTTATTGCTTTTGATCTTCATAAAAAAATGCAAGTTAATATTCAAAATTAAATTATTACCTATTTATTTATATAATTACAGATCGAATTATATAATGTTGCAAGGGAAAAAAAAGCTTTAAAACAGTAAATCAACAAAAAAGTTGACTATAATTCGTTCTAACAGGGTAGTGAATAACCAATTATAATTATAAAAAATGATAAGACAAAAAAGATTAATTTTAACACCTCTAGAAAACGAATTTTTTTAAAAAAATTCTTATGAGAAGTCACAAGTAAATATAAAAGGTAAATATTTACTGTAATAGGACAATATGTAAAATTTGAATACAAATGCTTACATATTGTTTTGGTTTAACATTTCTCACTATATACTAAAATGTTTATTTGTTTAGTACCATCCCAATCAGAAGTTCTGAACCTCTGAGAAGCTTTTCCTCTTTGAATGTTTGTTCAAAGTTGAAAAAGAAGCTATTTCATTGGAAATCTCTAAATCTCTGTGATAAGAAAATGTTTGCTCGGGATTTAGTAGGATATGTAACTTAATAATTACATATTATTATTAAGTTATATCACTTTTTTATAAAAAATCAAAAGAAATGAATAATATCGATATATAGTAAAAGTTGAAAAATTAAGGGGTATGTCCATCTTGTATTAGTGTATTCCATGATTTACGTTTAAAACCTAAGTTAAAATTAGAAGGATTTTCGAAATATGCATATCACCAAACAAATAGCATTCATTATTGTCATTGTATGTTCTATGCATTTGGTACCACCTTTAAGCGCCAAAAGATGAATTATGTAGTTCTTAATGTTTTTGGATAGCTTTAAGTAATTCTGCAATTGATTAGAAAAGATATTAAATTTTGATATTTTTTTTAAATATAATTCTCGTTATTATTATTATTAAAGAGTATCACTAAAAGGAAAACCTGAAAATCTTATTAGTACCACTCATGATAATCTGTTTTTAAATTTATCTAAATAAATTTTGATATAAAAAACTTTTTTAGCAATATTTTTTCTGATCTATGAATAATTTTACTCATTTATCTATTATGTGCAATACAATTAATTATTGGTATCTTATGGCAAAGATAATCTTGTAATTTTTTTTTTGCACCACACGTTTTAAGGATTATTTTATTTATTTATTTATTTTTTTGTTTCGGGTTGGTCTTTTAATTTTTAAAAATCAGTAATAATTCATGCAGATTAATTATAAAACCTATAATATTTCGCTTAAAAATTATGACTAACGCGATGAATTAAGAATCATTAGATATATTTAGCAAAATCTTGATCTTTTTTAATGATCATCTGAGATGATTGGCGGTTAGTAAAAACAAAATAAAAATAAATAATCATTTTGACTTACGATATTAAGACATCAAAAGAGATGTGATACTTGAAAGGAGCATTCAATTTGACCACCTAATTAAAGAAGTTTTAACCAGACTATTATACTGCTATACAGCAATATTATACAGCAATTAGATCGAAATGAAAATTTATTGTACTACCTACAATGCGCACGCTAGCTCAATGAAATGTAGCATTGTTTGTTTATTTAATAATATTATTTTTGTGAAGGACAAATTAAGATGCATGAATAAATTATTTAAGCTACTGGGTTACACCAGTGATACATTGAACATAATCCTGTGAAACCGTAAAACAGTCTTAGACTTTGATAATTTATGCAATATTGTTCTATTACCGCAGCTTATTATTAATTAAAGTTAAATAATTTTTTTTTTTAAGTTTTTTTTTAGAATACAGATTCGTTTCAGAATGCAAGGTAATTTTCACATTGTTACTTATAATCTGATTTTTAAGAAGAATAATAATTAAATACATTAAAATACTGTACTTACAAATGTTATTAGGGAGATTAGTATTTTTAAAACACACACACACTGATCGACAAATAAATAAACATAGTTACGTATCAGTTACCCCGTAATTCTAGGTCTTATCATTTGCACCTTTTAAAATAATATACATTTTAATTATATTAGAAGGGAACATAGCATATAGCATATAGCATCACGGGAAAAGTGCATTTATCTTTAAAAAGAGTTGGAATTCTTTCTTTCTTTGATTACGTATTGTACTGTATTAAATCAATTTCAATTAAAAATACAATGCATCTTAAAAATGTGATACCAGATGGTATAATTCATAATTTATTAATAAAAAAAATTTTTTTTTTTTTCATAATTAGTGATTTTAGTATTTTCACGATTCACAATTTTACATTCTTTTTATATTCTTTTTACATTCTTTTTTTTTATTGTTATAATGATTCTGCAAGTTATAAAATTTTTTTAATAAAATTAATAGGGATGAATGGGGATAAATAAGGATGAATATTATATATATATGATATTAAACCAACCAAACATGTAGCATTAAACGGAGCTACGTATAACAGATAATAATAATTAATGATTAATAATTTTTTTTTTTCTTATTATTATTATGAAAAGTACGTAAGAATTTTTTTTTTTTTTTTTTTATATATATTACAAATCACTATTACCACTATTAACCAACTATTACCAACTATTACAGTAATACGCATTTTTGAGAAGCCTAATAAAGGAATAGATACATTTATATAAATGAGCATGATAAATTAAGTTCGGTTGTACATAATTTCCATGATTCCCTCATTTGATCAAAAACCCGTTTTTTTTGTTTAAAATTAATAAGAAAAAAAAAGAATAGTCGATATCGATATAATATAAAAAAAATAGAGTACGAAACTTTTTTTTTTTTTTTTTTTTTATTTCTTAAAATGAATAGGGTGAGGTAACCAGTATTATTTGATGGATGATCTAAATGTTTGGAGATTACATATTACTTTCGTAGTGAAAAGGTTTTGAGTTCTTATATAGTTATATATAAAATTTCCTATTGGATACTTAAAATTCAAATTCGGATCTTTTTTTTTATAAATAAAAAGCATATAAGAAAACTTAAAAAAAAAAAAAAAATTACTTGTTATCCATATTTATCATTTACTACACAATACATAACTATATAGATATACACAAATCTCTTTATTTAGAAATTTACATGATTTGCTATGAAAAAATAAAAGGGATAGTACCGATTTTATCATTCTATTTACCTTTTATTCAAAATTTTATGTAAATCTTGATCATAAGAATCTCACAATATAAAAAAAGTTCCATTCATTAAGTCATCAATTTAACCGCTATTGGTTTATGATTTTTTATGATTCACACCTTTTACAAAGGTCATTTTGATATCGATTATACTTGATATATAGAAAAATTTGTAAAAAAAAAAGAATTAATAAAAAAAACTTTTTTTTTTTTTTTTTTTTTTACCGTAAAATCCCATAATGAGTATTTATTTGATTGCTGTACAGAAGGGACGAGAATTACAAGTTACCAATGTTAAAAATGAATTATATAAACTCTAATTGATGCTAATTATTTACAAATTTATCTCTGATTAATTATGATAAAGATTTAAAATCAGTGAAATGTGTATCTATAACGATAAAAATGCAATCAAAAAAAAAAAATTAGATACGATAATACTTATCCTAAATAGCATATAATTCATAATATACTGTTTTTCTATTTCAATTAATTATTTAAAATATTTCAAAATTATTTCAAAAATTAAAAAAAAAAAAAAAAAAAAAGAAAAAAAGATATTTAAATATTTTTAAATATTTAAGATATTCTCAAATTATTTCAATGTTGAAATGTTAAATATTTCAAATTATATTCAAATTATATTCAATGTTGAATATTTAAATTATCAGAATATTATTAAATCCATTTAACTTGCATAAAGAATTCCCAAAGTTTGCTAGCCTTATTAACATCAATACGAAGAAGTTTTTGTGCATCACTTTTTCGAAATGGAAGTGATTTTTGTGTATATCTTCTAGCTGATGAAACTAATGTATTTTTTGATGTTAAATATTGAACTGGTGTAAGTCTTAATGTTGATGCTACATGTGCTTCTTTTAAATGTAAAGAATTAAAATGTGGTAAATGTGAAATTGTAAGTGGTTGACCTTTCCAATTAACTTTTGGATTAATTCTATCAAGTAAATCTGTATCAAGATCTAATTGATCTATATTTTCCATTAATTCTTCAAATTGCATTGGTGGTGGTGGTGGAATACGAATTGTTTTTGCTTCTCCTCCTTCAATTGTTACTGGTGTAAATGTTGCTTCTAAAAGACCTCGATCTGCCATTACTCTTGCAAGACTATTTCCTTTACGTTTACGTTCTGTAATAGATCTTTTATTCTTATTTCTATGTTTATTACGTTGTCTTTTATTTAATTGTTTTGAATTATTACGTGTACTTGATTCAGATGTTTCTTCAGCTGATGAAAATATATCTGAAAATAATAATGGTGTACTAGGATCTGAAACTGGAGGATCATCACTATGTAATAATGCTTGAGGATCTTCTTTAAATGGTGTAAAAACATCTACTTTGAGAGTTATTCCTGGTGATGATTTTGATGGTGCTTTAGTAGGATAAGGATTCTTTCTAATTCGTCGACGTTTATCAATAGAATTCTTAATAGAACCCCTTTTATCATCGATATTTGTGGTTTGTGTTTGGTTTGGCGTCGGAGTCACACGACCATTGTTGGGGCATATGGAGATTGCATCCTTTGTACTACCCATTATGTCGGAGCTGGCGGTCAAATTTCCTGTCGTAAGCGCAGCAGTCGCTTTTGAAACGTTACGAGGTATTTTTTCTGAAGCTTTAATCAAATCCATAAGTTCTTTTGGAATATCACAAACTCTCATTCTGAATCTATGCTGACTTCCTGAAGCATAATTAGTTATTTCTATCTTTGTTAAATCCAGTTCTTGAGAATCCTGTGATTGTAATTGATGACTAGACTCTTCTTCATTCATTAGCACTTTTTGGTCATCGGTTAAAAAGTGAGTAATGCATTCATCAGGAGGAGAAGGTGGTGGTGAAATAAGTGGTGTTGGATGAGAATTAGAAATTGAATTATAACAAGAAGACATTTATTTACTTATTTTTTTTTTTTTAATTTATTTTCGTATTGTTATGTTTTTTGTATAGTTTTTTTTTTTTTCAAAAAATAAAATTTTTTATATAAATTTTTTTTTTTTTTTTTATAAATTTTATATAAAAAAAAAAAACAAAAAAAAGAAAAAATTTGTCAGAGCGTTTTATATAAAAAAAAAAAAGAGAGAGAGACCAAAAAAATAATGTTTCATAAACCAATTCGGAGTTCAAGAAACGAATACAATATTTGTAGTAATTAAAACCGGAGTATATATGTATTGAAAATCAATTTATCAAATTTTACGAAAGTAGATTTTTTTTATATATATACTAGTAATGATATAAACAATAACAATTTTTTTTTCTGAAAAAGAAAAAAGAATTAAGGAAAAAGTAAACCCTCAAAATTGGGAAAAATGCACTTCTTTAAATAAAATTTCAAAAAGATTATGATACTACAATCGGAGGAAAAAGGGACCGATTTTACCTTATTCAAAATGATTTACAAGAATATATAATTCAATATATTTTATATGGAATAATGTAACTAGCATTTATTTTATACAACATAAATGCATTGCCATAAAAATGAGTAGTCTAAAACAAATATATTGTCAAACATAATTATATCATCCTATAATTATATTATAAGCAATAATAATGACAAAATTTCATTAATAATTACGCCAAATTCTTAATTATATTATTATATAAAGATGTTGTAATAAACATTGATATCCAACTTATTGAGGAATATTATTAAAAATTCAAAAGAGAAAAAAATTCAAAAGAGAAAAAAAATTCATAAAGAGAAAAAAAAATTCAGAAAAAAAAAGTCAAAAGAGAGAAATATAATTAACATAAAAGAATAAATGTGAAGGTATATGCATATATATATTCGGAAAGTATAATTATAAATATTTTGAATTGATAGAGAATTGTTGTCTACGAAAAGGCTTCAATACGTTTCGGCTTTTTAGTCAGGTGATTCACTCACCTGGTATATAAAATGATTGGTGTAACTATCGCTATCTAAAGTTTTTTTTTTTTCGGATTTAAAAAAAATTACCGAAAAGCACAGTCTAATTTTTACGCCATGAAATATAAAATCACATGATCTAAGCTAAATTTAAAAAGTTCCATGCATTCATAATTCGAGCGTGGATTTCCACCACCAATTCTATGCAATTTAATCGGAGAAGTTTAGTAAAATAAATCTACCCTAACACAACTAGGAATATTTTGATGATCTGTTCGCCACATTTGTAATATACTGCCCATAAAATAGTATCCTTTATTTAATTCCATTGCACAGTTAAATTCTTGGGTATTCAACTGCTACATGATTAGATATGGAGTAAAAGGAACCAACTAGAGCCAAGCCAAACGATTATCGTAACCATTTAAGTGAAATTTAGGCAATAGCTGTTGATTCTTGTGTGAATGCTGCATTAATTGACCTTTATGCATATTAAAGTTATTGATATTCGAATCGAAAAATTTAATGGAAGGCGCGGAGATGTCCGTTGGAATATTAAAATTTCCAAAATTCGTAAAGATTGTAATAGATAATGAATTCTGTCTTAGCATAACGAAGTATATATGTTATGCGTCGATGGTTGATTCTGTCATTCAGAGATCGACATATGTTATTTACAGATCCATCAATAACTCGAGTTATTGATAGAATGTTTATCGGACTTGTTTTATGTTTA